AATACAGACATGGAGCTTTGCATCCAGAGCATAATTAGAAGGTGCACCGTGAAACTCTAGTGTCACAAACATCTGTCTTCTCATATCACAATAAACAAGAATTGATCATGCTGTTTGTTATCTGAGTAGAAAGTTTTAGTTTTATATTCTAAAAGCATAATAATGAACCAAATGAAAGAAAAACTAACAAATCAGCAGATGAGTAGAATTCATAATAGAACAAACTTATCAGAAAATTAAAGCAATTTAAGACCAGAATAATGATGCTGAAAATGAGACTGATATCCTGATATCCTCATAGTTACATCATCCGTCTGTATAAAAACAATCAATGTGATACATGTAACTTATGAGACAAATATGAAACATATGGGTAGATAATTGATTAGTAATTTCCTGTAGGTGAAAAGAGGACACTTGGTAACTAATTTTAAAAAGGGAATAAAAGAGAGAAAAAATCCTGTTGCAACTTTTATTATATTATTTTCATCAGCGAAAGAATCTCAATGCAGTACAGAAAAGGAGGTAGGCAGCCTTCACGCACCTGCTTCTCCGTGAGAATGACTCTCCCCAGTAACTGATCTTCTAGACCTTTCATGGTGACAGTGAAGTCAATGATGGAGGTACGGGCACTCATTTCAGGGGTGTAGGCTGGATTGGGCAGTTTGGTGGTGATGTAGAGCATGAAGCCACCCATAACATCTACTTCCTTATCGCCAACTTTCACCTTTTTTATAAAAAGGAAGTAAAAATAATAAAACAGAAATACGTCTTACTGTGTCCTTTTAGCATAGAATCAAATATTGCTTTAAGCAATTACATAACTGGAGATCATCTGTATGCTGAAAAAGAAATGGTCATTAGGCATTCACAAGGTTTCAAACCACAAAAATGCAGGAATGAAGGAAGAAAGGAACTTCGTAAATATAAAATTTAGTTCCAAAATTGTTGTGATCATACCACAGAAGCAAGATGGATCCCTCACCAAAAATTTGGTTCAGAGATCAAGGCAGATGATGCCACACATACCCAAAACGCTAAGAAAAGGCTTANTTCAAACTGCCATCAAGGGCTCTTATCTCCCTGGAACCAAGGCTACAGGTAAAAACAAAGCAGGATGAGATCCTGGCCCAGAAGACTCTCAGGGATCCCACTTTCTGAATGCTACATGCTGCTGACCAAGAATCTCAGTCGTTTCTGAAGTAATTGTATGCAACACTAAATGTCCTCAACCCTGTCCACCGAGATTTAATTCAGGACTCAAAAGGTAAGTGAGCACATATTTTGAAGGCTGTCATTAAACAGCTAGTCTGAGATAGGAACTATAGCATCAGTATCTGCCATATCGAGGTCAATCAACCATGTGAATTTATAAAACTGGATTTAATGCTCCTAATGCAACTTCCAACTTTATGACCCTGTGATTCACATGCTAAAATTAAAAATAAAAAGAGAAGATTCAGGAAAAAGGAAGGGGGAGAGAAAGGAAGAAGCCCAGGGTGGGGAGGGGGTGCGCAGGTAGGAGATAGGCACATGGTAGGGATCAGAGGAGATAGGCACATGGTAGGGATCAGAAGGGCAAGCATCACACAACATACAGAAAAGGTAAAGATAACAGGAGGGATGGATTCCAAAGATTTGCCAATGGTCTTAACTTAAGTCCTCAGGTCAGTGTAGAAGGGGACATAAAGTAAACTAAACTCATTGCTATTGAACCCAGGAGAAAATCAATAGCAACTTCAAGAGTTCATGCAGTTTCACCATAGCAGCCCCATTAAAACCCTCTACATTCCTTTGCTTAAGCCTCACATGCTCTCTAGAGAAAACGCTGACTCAGAAGAAGGAAGTTTATAAATTCAGGGCCATTTTTCATTGAGTGTTAAGTTATCCCATAAAACAGAAGTAGACAATACAGACATGGAGCTTTGCATCCAGAGCATAATTAGAAGGTGCACCGTGAAACTCTAGTGTCACAAACATCTGTCTTCTCATATCACAACAAACAAGAATTGATCATGCTGTTTGTTATCTGAGTAGAAAGTTTTAGTTTTATATTCTAAA